TGTGTGTGTGTGTGTGTGTGTGTGTGTGTGTGTGTGTGTATGTGTGTGTGTGTGTGTGTGTGTGTGTGTGTGTGTGTGTGTGGGGGGGTGTGTTCTTCATGATGTTCATTGCTGGATATCATCAGGGTTTCCATAGGGCGTTCATGACCTACACATGGTCAACCTGCATCAAGGCCTCACATTCTGCACGTGTGTTTGTGTGTTTCATTCTCCCTCAGTGGGTATTTCTAGCCAACCAGCATTAATCAGACTTCAGTCTAATTCAACTGAAGAATTTAGAGCTGTAAAGCACGGGAGACATGTTGTTATTATGATTCATGTTTTTATATTTCTCATAATACATAAAAATAAGAAATAATCTAATATATATCCAATGGAAGTAAACATTGAAATGTGTCCTAAATGTTATAATCTTTTGTAGCAGAATGATCTCCCATGGTGAAATCAATCATTACTTGGAAATCTGCCCGGCAACAAATATTGACACCCAGTGTGTTGCTTGCATCTTATTTTCTCTTTGCAGCAGTGTTTCTAGTAATTTATGATTTTGTGGGCTGTAAGACATACAACACAGAAGCTCCTGTGAAGTGTTGTATATGTACTGTAAACAACATCCTACAGTTCAGTTCATTTCACAGAGATTGTGTTAGGTAAACACTTCTTTTTTATATTATATTATCTAGGGTTGCCAGAAACTGACCATGATCAAAATCGATTATTCGGCAGCCCTGGCCCCCCACCGCGGGAGAGAAAAATAAAAAACTCAGACAAAAGGAATTCCGTTGTTTTTTATTTACTGGAACATGGTTGGTTTATTTTTTGTTATTTTCGAAAGTGCCTGCCATTGCCTTTATTTGGAGATGCGCTTTGCGCAGCAGCGCTGCGTCTNGACAAAAGGTATTCCGTGGTTTTCTTTGCTGGAACATGTTTAACAGTACAAACAAAATAAACCAACATCAACATGATGCAACTCCTTGAACTCTTTTTACCTGCCGCTGTTCATCTTTAGTCGCACGTGTGAGGGAGAGAGGGGGGGGTGGGGACGGGGGCGGTGCGTAGGGTGCTGCATCAGCAGTCTGTTCTGCAAGTTTACAGTAAAACAAACTGGTGGTGTGACCAATGGCCATTTACAATTATTAATACTATTACTATTATTAGCATTAGTCTATATTTTGGTTGAAACTAAGCCAGAAAAACAAAAACCAAAACATAAATAATAATAAAAAAATATAAAAATAAAATCGATTTTTTAAAATAATATTCGATTATGGAGACTGTAACGAATAATCAATGGCATCCCTAATACAGAGCACACTTTGAATAGGATCCTCTGACAAATGAAGTCTCATCTGGATGTGTACGGATGGAGAGGTGCTGTGAGTGGCAGGACTCCGACGTGCACAGATGGTTGTCTCTGTGTGATTGTGAGCTCATTGCTCATCTCTTCTCCTGACAGCCAGGCTGACAGGGCGCTAACATGACTGTCCATGTGTCCCGCACACCCCCTGACATTGATGTTCGACCTCCTCCAGTTTCAGAATCACATGGTGTTTGCATCTGAGCGCTGCTTCTTTGTGCCTCTTCTTGTCTCTGACGCAAAGTGTTGACTCATGCTCCGAGTTTCAGTTTTGCATTAGCCTTACCACATTGAGTACTTTCCTTCAGGTTTAAACAAATATACGATGCACATGCCAGTGCCTCTGGTTCCCCATAATGGCTGTTACCGAGGTATTTCATCTGATTAAGTAGTTTAATGTGTTGGGTGTCCAGTTTTGGAAGTGCTTGCCTAACTCGGTGTGTGAAAAGGTCTTTGTTCGATGCTTCTGCGTTTAACCTAATCGATTGACGGATTATTCTAATGGCTCTAACAGTTTACTGATCGTGTAATTAAAGTTAAAATAATGTAGGTTGCTGATGTTTGGGATAACCCTGTTTGCGTCATAGCATAGCTAACATGTCAGGACAGACCTACACTTTCTACTCTCTATTTTCTTCACTTCATTTCAACTCTGCTGATAAGGACGCCAACTGGCCTCTTTTTCATTTCAGTCCTGCTTCTATTGCACTCTCCTCAGGCCCGTAGTTATAACGTGCATATCACATCATAAGTCCTGTATTGAAATTATGCTCATGCTTCTACAGTAGCCTCATTGTCTGGCTGATTGTAGATTAGCATGTTAGCCTCTCTCTGTGTCAGCCCTGTTGGTCCTGAGCTGTGTTGTTCTGCTACCATTCTGCTCAGTATTTAGTATTCAAGCATAGTTAAGTGGTCAGTAAAACAATGTGCAAAAGAAGTTGAAATGAAACTCATGCCACACACAGATTGGTCTGTTGAGATAAGCTTGGGGGAAGAGACGAAGAAGAGATGACTGGTTCTAAGAATTCTGCAGTTTGCCTTAAGCAACTTAAAAAAAAAAAAAAAAACGACCGACATGAGTGGAATACCACGTAATAATAGACTGTCTGCCATTTTCTTTATCTCTGACTCTCCTTGTGGAACTCATTTTACTGTCAGTCCTTTGGGTTTGTCTCTGTCTCTTTTGTGAATCTCTGCTTTTCTTTGTGCTGATTCAGCCTCTTTTGCTCTACTACACTCACAGTATTTTCTTTCCCTTTGCCAGCAACGCTTGTTTCAGTTGTGCTCCCCCCTAGGGAAGGAAGTGCTCTCACTGCGGAGGATGTGATGTAACACAGCCTCTTTTAAGTCATAATCACCCAATTATTAAAAGATATTGTGCTGATGATCTCCTAATCGTCGTTGTAAACAATGATGTGGAAATGGCAACAGGTTGATGCAAGCCTTTAATTAATGATATTCTTTCATTGTTTTTAGACCTACTTGTACTGTTTGTACTTGATTGTTTACTGTCTCATTTTAGGTTCCTTTTCCTCTTTTTGATGATTGAAATGACTTTGCATTGTGTTAATACTCGATTTTCCTGTTTTTGTTTCAGGTACCCCGGTCAATATGTGTATTGTTCAGAGCAGAGCTTGTCTGGCCCTGGTCAGTCCGCGGGGGACAACAAAAACCTGGAGGGGCAGGAGTCGGAGCAGGACTCCACGCAACTCAAGGTGTGTTGACGTTTTTTGCGCAGTAACACATTAGGCAGCTTAAATGCCATAAGTGCATATTTCACGTTTCTACCCTCACATACAGTATGTTTAAGAGGTTAATAGTGACCGCAGGAATGAGCTCACTGGAGAGCAGGGGTGTCCAAACTAAAGTCATTTTAGAGCACCATTTACCTACATTTCATTGATTTTGCCAACTTATAATTGAACTTATGAGGCAATATACCTCACTTCTAGCGAGTGGCCCAGCCCTTCGTATATTTTTCTGTGTGTGGCCCTCGGTGAAAGAAGTTTGGACTCCCCTGCTGTAGAGACACAGATTTCAAGTCAACAAAAAACAAAACGCCATATGTGACCTGCTCCATCGAAATCAGTCGCATTGACCCGAAGACACATTTTGAGTTGTATACACTGTTGGAAAGAGGAGATTCCTAGCTTTCTAATGATATCTGGATTGTTGTTGTACTCCAAATATTAAGCAAAATATGTCTCTATATAATGACTGTCACTGAGTCATCATTTTGAGAAAAAGGCCTTCAAAGTTTTCTCTTCTCTGGAATCCATCGATCTGATTGATTATTAGCGGAGCAAATTATCAAAATACTACGGAGGGAAGATATTTTCGTTTGGATTACTGGTCTGGGGGAAGCTCCCGAGTGTGTGTGTTTGTGTAATTTTGCGTTTGTGTGTATTGTTTGTTTTCCGGAGAAAACACTCGTGAGAAACACCGGCTCTTGTTATGCATGCTGTCATGTTACTCCGTTCTCCGCTTGTAATTATGCCGTTACAAGCTTCAAAGTTGTATTTATCATCTGAATTTGCCGAAACAAGTTTAATATTCTGAAAGCCAAGACTTTGTTTAATTGAAATCAGACGAAAACAAACTGTAACGGACCCTGCCGTGTTATCTATGATTACTATACGCTTTTCATTCATAATTTCAGCGGAGGGAGGGGTAGCATCGCTGCGGAACAGCAGAGTGGCGAGTGAGAGCTGTCATCTTCCCTTTACAAGCTTCAAAAATATATTTATCGTGTGATTTTGGAAATAAAAGTTTCATATTCTGAAAGCCGACACTTTGTTTATTTATAATCAAACAAAACATCTCTCACTATCCACGTTTATTTTTAAATGAGCCGTTGCGACTTCCGACTGATTTCAATAGAGCAGGTCACATATTTTCTTTCATTTCTTTTTCAATGTGTTGTGGAATCTTCTCTGCTGCCACCAATGGGTGTGACTGAAGAAGAAACACAACATATCACTCTTTTTGCATTATCTCTCTGTCTTCCAACTGATACTCTTGTGGATGATTGTAACTGTTTAGGGCTGAACACCATGTATAGTACATGAAGATTAGAGTGTTTTCAAGGTAAAAAGTAACTTAGAAAGTAGCCCAGTTGAACATTGTCCAGAACATAGGCTTCTCTTTATGAGTCATAGAGGTCAGGTTGTGAAATAGGTCCTGACTTGCTCTGTGGGGTTAAAGTTCAGAGTATTCAAAGCTTCCTCAACTCCCTGCTTTTTGCCCTTTTTGCAACGTTGGTGATTGATGTTAAAGACTAATCAACCTTCAGTGTGGACGTCATTCCTCCATAGTCAAGCGATCTTGGATGAATTTGCCTGAGGTGGACTGATACTGGCTTTAAATTGAATATGGGACACCCTCAGCTCTTGAGAATGGGCCCTTAAAGCTTTGTGTGTCTGGTCATTTGCATGAGTATTGGAATGAATGATAATTTGTGGAAGTGAGTGTGTTTTTGTTGGGCATGTGTGAGCACAGAAGAAGGAGGGTCATTGTTAGAGGTCCAGCAACAAACAGGCGAGCCAGGGCAGTTGGACAGGCCTGGCAGTCTGTCATTGGTGCTGTAACACGGTCTTTGTCCCTCAACAAAAGGCTTTTTCAGAACCTGAGATGCAAACACCTCTTTTGCATTTTACATTTTCACAGAAAATGTATATTTATAATGAAAATAATCCATCGATAATGTCGTGCAGAGTTTGAATGGTTGTCCTGTGGCCGGCTCCACTTTTAGCCAATTATATATTTAAATGTTTTAACTGCTTTGTCAACCAGGGAGGTTCCTGTTTGTGTAATGTTTTTTGATTATTATTTCTCTTCTACTTAGGTGTTGGAAGAATGGACGACACATACATCATATGAAATTGGACTAGAGATAGAGAAAGCAGCTCTAGAGACGCTATCATCACACAATGAACACCAAGAACAGGTAACACCATATACCAGTTCTTAAAGAGTCTCAAAAACATCTGGTGCAAATCCTAAAAAAACATGCATCAAAGAAACACAAATAGAGATCAGGGTATTCACAACCTATTCATTCCACTACACACAGTAATAGGAAGGAGGAACAAGTTGGTTGTAGTAATGTCCACTTTCCCTACTTTGTGCCTCACAATCTTCCAGTTTAAATATCATAATTGTGACCCAATACATGAATCAATAACGGCTGTATATATTCTAAGAATGTTGAGGATTTACAGAGAATTGTTGCTAACTTTTTTTAAGATGTTGATTTTGATTTTCTTCTAAACATAAATGTTTTTTGCATTGTCTCTAGACTGTGAATGCTCTGGAAGCTGATGTGGAGGAGACCAAGTCGGACCCACAGTCCGATACTGTACTTGTTGCTCTTGAGCCAGAACCCCGCCCAGACCCCCAGGCTGATGTGGAGCAGCAGACTGACGCCCAGGACAATGCACAGGAAGTCCCTCTGTCCTCCACCCCAGAACCAGTTCCAGCACAGGGCCAAGTGTCTCCCGATGTCCCGGCCCCAGCAGAGACCCTCAGTGACCCCTCTGCTGCACAACCCAACCTGGACTCGCACCCAGCCACAATCCCAGATGAAGCTGAACACACACCTACCTCACAGAGTGCCGGCCAGACCCACACAGGGTAAGCTCAGATTCACTTCCTCATTGCAGAGACTGTTCTCTGGCATAAGAAGTTGGCTTTAACCACAGACGAGTAACATTGGAGAACTAAAACTAGAAAGATATGTTGCTTTCAAGATGGTTCAAGCCAGTTTCAACCACATGTTGGTATGATGAAGGTACAACTATTTCCATTGCACCTTTGCTTTGATATGTATGTTGGTTTGTTCTGTTTCTTCAGTTTGTATCTTATTTAGTTTGTGTTATTTATTTTACCACTGTCAATTAACTGATCCCAAATGGAGAGAAAAGAGAGCTGGTCTGACAGCCTGGACATTTGAAAGGCACTTCAAGGAATTGGTGACAAGCGTGGAGAAGTTACAAGGAGCTCAACAGACACAGTGAAAATGTGTCTAATGGACTTTGGTGGACATTGTGGAAAATCACCTGTACTGACATGGAACTTTGGCCAAGACAATTCTGGATATCCCCTGCTGGATATCAGTCTTCAAGATCATTATGTCCATCCGATGAAAAGTTTAGATTCAACTCCTCTCCAAAGAACATCAGGACATTTCAAAAAGGACACATCAACGGCACCTCCACCGTTCTCTCCATCCCTTTTTGTCCTTCCAATTCTCTCTCTGCTCTCTCCCTACACTCTGTGTCCTCCTATATCCTCTTCCTCTCTCCCACCCCATCTTCCCCTCTCTCCCCTCCCTATTGTGAAGAGGTGTGGTAAACGCCATGTCCTTTCTTTCCCTCAGTGCTGTGTGGGTTGCCAGTGCAGGAGATGAACTCCCAGTAGACAACTTAGTCTTTGCTGAGCACTCTGATTCACAGTGCGGGGTCATTCCCCCCGAACTGGCAACCTGTGAAAACTCCCCTTTTGGCAGTCTTCTCTTAAGGTGAGTTTTTAACCAGGAAGCCAATCAAAGCGCAGAGACAGGTAATCAAACTCCACCTCTCTGCTGTGCGCAACCGTCGACCGCTGGCCTTGCTCTCCACTTCTGCTTTTTTTTATTATTTCCTTTTTCCATCGTTTTGCCTGCGCACAACCAGGGCCTGTCAATTCTGTCAAATACATTGAATACGTTTTGCATCGATGTGTCCAACATTGCTGAGTTCTAACTTGTGTTCTCAACTCTTCTTCTCCTTATTCCTCCTCCCTCCACCTCCATCTCTTCCCTCCACCTCCATCTCTTCCCTCCACCTCCATCTCTTCCCTCCACCTCATCGGCCCCGTGTCTGTAATATAGTGTGGATGAGGCCGGCCTAGAGGACCAGCAGCCGGACCACAGCCAAAGCTCTGGTTCTGAAGCCGAGGTCCAGTCTACTCCGGGCCCTGTGGACCAGCAACAACAACAACTACAGCAGCAACAGGAGGCGCAGGACCTGGAGGAAGGGCTGACTGATTTGGACCAGGAGGGCAACACTTCTCAACACAATGAACCACAGGTCGGCAGCGTGTGGTTTCTAAATATATTTATATGTATTATAAATGTAAACTGAGAAACAGCCAACATCCAAAGCTTTAAGGAACAACTAAATGCAACAATGATCAGTGCAGGGATAACCAGTTGGAGCTTTAATCATAAACAGAATAACCTCGATATTCAGGAACGCAGGCATTTCTACTGTTCCTACGAGTCTCAGTGCCGTTTTGATTGTGGATCTTTTCAGTAGGCGTGGGCAGAGACGATGCAGTGCGTCAGGTGTCGTCATGGAAAATGTAACTAATAGATCCTAATCAGAGAGAAACAGACAGGTGGTGAGAAACCACAGCTGTCAGCTTCATGGGCATCTCTCTTCCTGTTAACTAAAACACCTTAAACTGGTGACAAATGTCATATAATATAAAACTATTCTGCACACTTGTTCAATGTTAAGGCACTAGGCCTAAGGATGCAGTTTGTCATTTTGCATAGTCAGTTCTTCGTCCACCAGCTTCAAGCAAAACGATGACAGTTATAAATATTCAGTAAGCAAAGCTGTTTTAGAAAAGGTCAGCTCGTGAATGGTTCAAACTAAAAATGCTGAGTCAACTTGCTTTCTGTTGCTTGTTTTATGGTTGAAGGATAACAACAGTGTAGTGCATCCTGGGGGATTAACCTATTTTGGTTATTGTGGGGTATTTAAACATTATATTGCTGTTGGAATCAAGATCTAGTGAGTAATGTGTTACTGGTTGTAAATGACTCCTGCCAAATGTTTTTAGGTGTTTAACTAAGTTGATGGATTTTTAGGATCAGACTTGCTTTTGATGTATTATATATTATATAATCCATCCAAATATTATTCACAGCTCAGTGCATCTCAATGCTTTAGCGGCCAGAGGCTAGCTGACTAACATGCGTGGGTTCGTGACTGGTCAAAGCATGCAATCCTTGTAGTGGATCACTGATGCCAGGATACATCATTAGTCAGAATAAGCAATACTTAAATACATTTACAATGTACTGTGCTCAAGATAACTGTGGTGATGGAGTTAAACTGTCATTAAAGGCCTGTGTGTGTGTTTCAGGCAGGGCAGGGCAATGTTGCCAGAGAGCCTGATCCCCCAGTGCCCCGCAAAGAAGACATCCCCACCTTCGACGAGTGGAAGAAACAAGTCATGGAGGTGGAGAAGGAGAAAAGTGAGTGCATAAATGATTCAAACACCCATTCTAGACACAGACGCTCAGCAGCTACTGAGTGCAACGACCCATTAAGTGTCTGCTAGAGGCTTTCTTCAAGACGTGGAATATTCTGATAAACTCACTCTGCTATAATCTACATGTCAGCTGCTTCGTTTTCCTTTTTGCAACTATTGTTTTATCTCCATTTATCATCTCTCTTTTGCTTCCACCCCCCGGTTCTATTCCTGTCCATCTCTCCATCTCCCTTCCTCTTCTCTCGTTCTGCCTGTGCACGCCATGTGCAGTGTTCAGCAGAGCGTGTGTTTATGGGTGTTGCGTAACCTCTCTACTTCTTCCTGTCAGTGTTCGTAATGTGACTAATGTAACACTCCCTCTGCCCAGGTCAGTCTCTCCATACCTCGAGCAGCGGCAGCCCCCATCCAGTGAAGAAGGTCCAGAAAAACTTCAAGAATAACTATGCCTCTGTGGAGTGTGGTGCCAAGATACTCTCGTCAAACAACGAGGCCAAGGTTGAACACGCATCTTTCTTTCGTTTGTAGCCTACACACAAACACATCCGCTACCAGAGACTGACCATCCTTCTGTCATGTTTTATCAGCAATTTTACATTTGAGATAGGAATGAAAACGTGGCACAGCAGTTTAGGTTTACATGAAACAATGTTCACTGTGTTTGGCTGTTATATATTAACTAAATGAATTCAACTAGCGATAATGGTTGATGCTAATGTTATCACTCTCGTTCTTGTGTCTCATGTTCAGAGCACTTCAGCTATTCTCATGGAGAATATGGACCTTTACATGCTAAATCCATGCAGCAACAAAATCTGGTGAGTACACCGACACACCCCGCCGGTACATAAATAAAGCCTGATTCGAGATTCACATTTTATTGTAGAATTAACATTTTCTATTTACCTCTCTCCAGGTTTGTCATAGAGCTCTGTGAGCCCATTCAAGTCAAGCAGCTGGACATTGCTAACTTTGAGCTCTTCTCATCAACACCTAAAGACTTTTTGGTTTCCATCAGTGACAGGTATACTCCTTCAGTACAATATCAAGTCATATTCAAATTGATAGGGCATCCAGTCCAATTGTTTGCTGAGTCAGTCACATTGTTGCATGTATTGGCAGGGTTTGTTGAAGAAAAGGTAGAAGGAAGCAGCTGGTCAGTACCTGTGACTCAAGTCAATTTGGTTTGCATTTCACAATATGAAATTGTATTAGCAATATGTACAGCATGCAACATCTTCTGTCATTAAACCCAGGAGGAGCAACTGAGGATAAATCCCTCTCCTGGGACGGAAAGACATGCAATTGATACATAATAAAGAGTACGTAATACAATTACAAGATAGAAAATTAAGGGTAGGTTAAAAATGGTATATTGAGAACATTTCTGAGGCATAATCATTGCTTCACATGGACTGACACTTCTAACGCATTTAGTTTAATGAACAAGCCATAATGTATTATTTAAATTACACGACAGCCTTTGGAATGTCAGTATTTTTGTAATGGCATAAATCCCTTGGCCACTAAACACTTTTTAGTTGGATATTTTGATCTTGATGGGTGGGAGAAAATGTTTAATTAAAGGCGTCACTTGTTGTTATATTTAAAAACACCAGAACCGGTTCAAATCCTTTTCTTCCTCCTGTATTATCAGCTTTAACTTAAATGCTGGTAGAGTTGGTTATGTTTGTGTTTTACCATCACCATTTTCATGTGACATGGAGTCACATGAAATGCAGTGGTCTTTACACCCAGCCTTAGAGAGAACATGTGTGATTGAATAACCCTGTAGCCCTCACACACATCTTACCTTCCTTCTGTTCTGTCTGCAGATATCCTACCAACAAGTGGGTAAAACTAGGTACTTTTCACGCCCGTGACGAGCGCATTGTCCAGAGCTTCCCACTAGATGAGCAGCTTTATGCTAAATATGTGAAGGTAATGCTTTTTTCTTCTTTCTGATACAATATGCCACTTGTGCGTCTAAATATGAGAAACAGTAACAATGGATACATTCATTCTCAGTTGTGAAATGACGGTCCTATTTAATGAATACACATGTTTGTTGAGCTCAGGGGACCCTCTTATGACTCCATGGTAAGTTAGCCATGCCGTAAGCACTGCTGTCAACCTCTCCCTCTATTGTATGAAGACATGGGACTGTGTGCATGACTGAGGGGGTGTGTCCATGACAGAGTGTCACGTGTAAGAACTAAAGGGCGGATTGGGCAGATACACATTACTATTTGGTTTAATTATATTTGAGATTTGGGTGTCACAACTCATCGGGCCGAGTTGGTCCACGTCTTCATATTGAATCATCAGTGTGTGACGTGAAAGGATTACAGTTGTTTGCTTAAGTTATTAACAGTTGTTTTCATTAAGATTACCGTAATTTTCGGACTATAAGCCGCGCCTTTTTTCCCATTTTTCGACGCTGCGGCTTATATAACGGTGCGGCTAATCTATGGATTTTTACAGCTAACGGCCACTAGGGGTATTTTACAGGTTACAGTCCACCACCTTTAACTCTATGGGCTCTATGGCCGGTCCGCCGCCCCCACCTTTAAGCGGCGGGCTCCAGCAGGAAAAGCTGGAGGCCGGAAAAGAGTGAGACAGGTAGCGCGCAAAAGTAAAAGTGGAACCGAGAGTGGTGCGAGAGACAGAACGAGAGCAAGACAGACAGACATTACGAGAGCGAGACAGTTTGTCCCCGTACCACTGGTTGAAAACCACTGCTGTAGATCCCTGCCGGTACGTGCGCTGGGAGCGCACTGTTTAAGTTTGAAAGTTGAAAAGTTTGTGTGTCTGAAACGCTATGTGATACAGTACAGTTTACACAGCACAGTACATGTTCTGTAGCTACTATTGCACTAAATGCTAACACTTGAATACGTTATGCAAATATGCAACTTGTTTGTTGAAATGTTAATAAATGGGAGCTTCCTCAAACAGCCATCTCTTTCCCGACAATCCCCTCTGTGCACGAACCCTTACATATGGTAATTAAACATTAAAACACCTGCGGCTTATAGTCCAGTGCGGCTTATATATGTACACATCATTCAATTTAGCTGCTGCGGCTTATATTCAGGTGCGCCTTATAGTCCGAAAATTACGGTAATTAAAAATCTAGACTTTTAGACTTTTTTTACCATCCACAAATTCACTCCGAAACACATGTTGCTGTGACGTGTCTGTGCTTTTGTGATCTGTCTGTCCCCTCACATGTATGTTGCTCACTTGATATTTAATTTCATTGAAACAGTTGATTAATGCTCTGAGGATTATCCTTATGTGATTTGGGTTTTATGTTTGGGTGCTTACTGTGATTCACTTGCTCTATCATGACATAATTGTGCTGTTCATACTCAAACAGATTTCTAGAAAGTTTCAGGATTATCTTTTTTGCTAACTCGACTGATCTGAGCAGCTGAACACGTTTGTGTCTGTCTAATGTTAACCCTCTGTCCTGAGCGTCTCTCTCGCTCGTGCTTCTTTCCTACTGCTTGTCAGAAACCTCTTTCTAGCACCTTGCCTGTGGACTGTTATGAAGAAATGAGCGTGAACCAGCACTGTGTTTTGTGATGAAATGCTTGACTTGCTTGGAGCGTGAATCAGTCTTTACTGATTTCTTTCTCTTTGTTTTATCTCTCTCACCTTTCTTTCTCCTGTCTTCCTCTCGCATCAGATGTTCATCAAGTACATAAAGGTTAGCACTCTTCTCTATCTGTCAGAGGTTATGCTGTGCTGTATAATGCACTCGTGTAATGGTCGTACATTGTAATGGGTGAGCTTTGGCTGAGGGTCATCTTTAATGCATGTGATAGATATTAAGCATTAGAACATGCACATAATATAATGTCAACGCTTGGCAATTCTAGTATTGATGGTCACATATTTGGTGGGTTATGGGTTTATGGAGTGGGCACGCATAAATGATTGGCATTGTTACTTGTGAATGATACTTTGAATTCAACAGTTTATCCATTTTGCCTGCAGGTTGAACTCCTCTCCCACTTTGGATCAGAGCACTTCTGTCCACTCAGTCTCATTAGGTAAGACAGTAAATAGTTAAGGTCTTTAGTTCAAATTCAAAGGTCTTTAACATTTCAATCTATGAAGTTTGGGTACAGCTGCAGCTTACATTGTGAGAATATACTGTGCTTTGTTCTAAAGAAACAAAAACACTGTATGGGAACAATAAATAGTTTGTACTTGCATCCACTCACTTCTTTATTTTGGGAAGAAGTATCAATAGACATATCATGGAGTCACTTGACTTTGATTTTACACTTGGGGAAAGATGTACTGTACCCAATGTTTTTTTTTATCAAGAAGAATGACTATGTTGTTCATTATGAAATTGATCAATATGAGATTATACAAGAAATGTAGTGGATCTTTTGATCCCCTCTCCCTCTTCCAGTGGTTGTTTGGAATGCTTCATGTCACCGGTCAATGTGTTTTTACCTGTTTTCGTATACGATTTACTCCAAAGATCAAACCTTCCAGTACATACAGCCTATCTCACAAACAAACATGGCACGTATCTCTGTACGTCTCTCCCAGACCACCAGGGCCATCGGGGCTTCTTCTGACGGCACTGCTGTTGGGGTTGAGATGACACTTTCTTTGAATCTGATCCGAGCAACATGTTATTAGAAAATGTGCCCCTCCCAGAAAGCTTTAGCCAGCTCTTTAACAATGTAAACCTTAACCTCTTTCTGTAGGTAGGCTTGTTTGTGTAACACAGTGTGTGCGGGTGTTTTGTGTAGGGTGTTTGGTACCAGCATGGTGGAGGAGTATGAAGAGATTGCAGATTCCCAGTATCCCTCAGAGAGGCTGGAGTATTTGGATGAAGACTTTGGTAAGATGCCGGTGACCCGTTTTCAACATCACATGAAAATGTACTCTATTAACTGATAGATGAATGGACTACGAACAATAACGTTTTAAAGCTGCCTCACCTGGCAGAACAATGCACTGCACTACAAAAGACCCTGAGAAGAGTCAAATTACATTACCGCTCTCTAACTAAGTCACTAAGTAACTGAAGCTGGAGTTAACTATTAATATCAACGGCCTTATGCAGCAGAGTTCCCTTCGTTGAACCCTAGAATTCCATAAAAGCACAATAATATTAATTTAGTGTTGAACAATATATATACTTTTAAGAGTAAAGTTAAGTATTTTGCTGAATATAACATGCAGTATTTCCTTTTCTTCAGACTATCCACCTGGCTACCAACCTTCAGAGGACAAGGCATCTAAAAACCTGCTTGGCTCAGCAACCAGTATGTACACACACACAAACACACACAGACACACACACATGTATATATGGCTCTATTAAGAAAGTTGTATAGCAATTTTTTGTTTTTTTTTGTTTCACCCTTTTTTATTTTGTAGCACTTTGAGTTTTGTTTTACGCAATGAAAAGTGCGCTTATAAATAACATTTATTATTATTATTGTTATTATTATTATTATTATTATTATTATTATTATTATAGCAAGTTAAGTGCAACAATTTGGTACAAACATATTTAGAGGTTAGGTTCGTTCTGTATTTAGTATTTGCATTATCATCCTAAAACTGTTCCAAAGATACATAAGACCTTAAAAAAAGGAACACATTACTCAGGAATTTAAAGGACTGGAGGGTATTTTTCTAGCTTTATTGGTTTTATTTTTGTCAAGGCCAAGAAATCCTCCTCATTCTGTAACGGTGGCAGCAGTGTATCATTTTGAGCTTTCATATCTTAAAACTGAAATAGTCTGGTGAAACTGATACTGTCTGTAAAGGAAAATAGTTATGAAAGTATATTTGTTTTGCATCATGTGAGTATTCTTGGTCCATAACACCAGTGTGTTTGCGGAGTTAGATATAGATTCCCTGCACAGTGTTTCCTTGGTTTTCTTAACCTAGTTGGTGTCACACATGCAGACTGGGGTTTTGGTTACAACATTATGCAGATTCCACAAGACCTCTTTATTTTTGTTTTTTAACCACACATACTTGTGCAAACACACTGGTGCCCCTCTGTCTCCTGAGCAAAAAGAGTGCTGCTCAACCCCTACACACACAGTATTTACACACAAACCTTCGGGGCTAACCTTAAAATCTGAAGAAAGATCTGGAAAGAAAGTCATGTAGGGGATATAATGTTATAGAAGTTTAAAAAAAGCTCATGTTTGGCCCCAAATCTCTGTGTAGGAACTTAATGCGTTATAAAAGAACTGTTTTCTTTTCCTTCTATAGATGCCATCCTCAACATGGTAAACAACATTGCTGCGAACGTGCTGGGCGGCAAGCTGGAGCTGGAGGGTGGAACAGTAGCAGGAGGTACTCATCCCTCAAACACTTAAAGCTTCCTGTTCCTATTTTCCATCCTGTTCACCTTTCATGTCCACAACTCTCTTCTGTAAATTGTGACTTATCTGATTTCCCCCTCTATAGCTCTGCCCATGCTGCATACAACATCTTTCACTAGTTTGACGTATTGTCATAGTTTTGGAATACAGAACTATATGCATTCACAAACTTTACTTTATAGGGAAGATTGACACATTTGAAAGCTAACAAACCATGGAATTTAAAGGTCTCTTATGGGCAAAGTGAAACTGTTCTGGAAGCTATTTACACGAATAGTTTTCAAAGCTGCTTGACACGCAGTAACAGGCTTGATTATAGTTTAAGAGAGAATAGGGTCCAACATTATTACGGTATTAACTAGGGATGTCCCGATCACCTTTTTTTGCTCCCGATCCGATTCCGATCATTTGATTTTGACAATTTGCCGATACCGATTTTTCCCGATCCGATCTTTATGCAATGCATTAAGAGAAAAAAACAAAAAAACATTCAAGTTGTCCCTTAAGGTTATTTTTTTACTTAAATTGGATATTCTATCCAACATGGATATAGCTTATTTCTTTCACAGCAGCATTGGATCAGTTCAGTTGTGCAGCATTGGATCAAAACAAAATAAAGCTTATCAGTACTCGTTAGCTTACTGCTACAATTAGACACTGCGCCCTGCCCACTCTGTTGCCAGATTTGAGAGAAATAAGCAACCAGGTCTATGAAAACAAGCCCCAAAGAAGCAACACATACATGATGTTGTGTCATTTGAAACCAAAACTAAGGCCTCAGGATGACTTTAAGACTTGTTTTGTAACATTGAATACAAAATTTAAAAAAAGTATTTATAAAAAATAAAAAAAATCCGATCCCCGATTTTTTTTCCTCCCGATTCCGATCTTTTGAAAATCACATGATCGGCTCCGATCCCCGATCACGTGATCGGATCGGGACATCTCTAGTAATATATTTACATAGTTTCTGAAGCTGTAGCGTGTTTCTCCCCAAGGAAATTCTCTCGTGTGTTTGCACCTGTTGGCCTCCGTACTAAACCTGGTATGATTTATAACCTAAAAGCTGTACACTGTTGTCCTTCTGCCCAGTATGTATCAACATGCATAGAAAGTGTTTGTACAGTATTTTGTTCATTTCCAAATCTTATTTTATTTTATTGCCCCGGATTTCTAAAAGCTGCAACCTGCCTAAACGAATAACTCATGAAGTGTCAAGCCCAAATGTGTGATGACTCTCTTTAGGGCTTTGTCAGTAAGATAACATCAGTTTCTGTAGTCTGTTGATGCTTTCATGCAGATGTGCTCGAGNGTATTTATAAAAAAAAAAGAAAAAAGAAATCCGATCCCCGATTTTTTTTTTTCCGATCTTTTGAAAATCACAGGATCGGCCCCGATCACGTGATCGGATCGGGACATCTCTAGTATTAACCCAGCCTCTGCACATATTCTCTTTTTAATAGAATGCCCTGACATGCATTTGTTTTATTCTGTTTGAACAACCACACCTCCTGACAGTCGATGTAAAGTAAAACTGGTTTATCCATTTAAAACCGCTGATGGTTTCCCTTTCTCAGAAAAGGTTGTTCGGCACGAGTCGCCAAACTAGTTTTCAATTCAATCACAAACTAGTCTTTTGGAGCCCTATTGGATAATTCACTCACTTCTGATTAATAGTTAGTAGGAAAGGTGTTCGCATTCATTTAGTCTTTATTCATATTTTGTTTTTGTGCAAACCTGATTGGAAACATCAGGAACGAATATGACGAACAGTTCATAGTCTTGCCTGAGGAGGAAAGTTAATTAATTGATACGAAGAAAATGAAACCAAAAGAAAACCTGATGAAAACATTGTCAATTTTCTTCTGTTTCTCCCAAGAAATAGTTTATCGAAAGGAACGCTAATAACAGCTCCATAAAGTATTTAGAAACAAAGGAGAAGAAACGCATTTAAATAAATACTGAGAATATTGCACAACGCTAGTTAGTGGAAACGCTGTTATTCAAAGACCTTTTTAGAAGTACCGGTACTATGATTATTTTTTTTAACGCATTCCATATAAACCACCTCTTCTGTTCTTATTGTGCGCCACTCATCCTGCTCATATTATCCTTTTTCAGCTGTTCCTTTTTCTTTCCCTCTAACTGCCAGCTTGCCACATGTCTGCTCACATATTGTTTAAATCAACTGCTGCTCAAACTAGGTCATTTTCTTTCCTTCTCCAGTGTGAGCATATGCATAGCCTTGAATGTCCATGTGTATGCGAGCTGAGAGTCAGATGTTTATTTGACTGTCGGCTGGAGGTCTCCTGCAGCGTTTCAGCAGAACTTTGGCTCTCTGTGTCTTACCTTTTGGCAGTGGAGCGTAGATGAATTCAGACTGAGGGGGGCCTATGACGCCACAGCCTGCTCCTTGTCCTGTTCATGCCACAGAGAGTTACATCAAAATCACTCTCTTACACAGCTGTTCCCCTGATGCATGGAGTTAAAGGGAAAACTCTGCTTTACACACAGATTTCACATAATGTTTATATTTAGTTTCTGCTCTTGAACAGTTTCAGTTTTTCTGATTTGTGTTTCTCTCCTGTAATGAAACAAGTATCTTTTGCAAAGACCAACTGACCACTTGTAGTCTGGATGTAGATTTATTTTTACTTTGAGCTGCCGCACAAATTAAGTCTACTTTATAAAATTCAATTTGACACAATGTAATTATGACATTTTAGGCGTAAGTTCACTAAGTCAACCTTTCTTTATTTTTTTTAGCAAAAAGTGTCTTTGCATTTCTAGGGTTGATTTAGCATTTACACCCGCAGAGTAAGCAGGGAAGAGAGAGAGGGAGGGAGAAGTCGGTTCTAACTGGACTGAACTGGTTCACATTATTTCTGGCTTTCCCAAACATGGGCTCGTCAGCCCTTCTGTGGAGCGAAAAGGGTCTCTGTTCCCCACTCTGCCTCCTGCAGGCAACTAGGACTTGGGAGAAACTTGCCACTGCACTAAAAGTGATATCTTCCTGTGAACTCTGCGACAGTGACCGACTGTTTGATTGTTGTGTTTTTCTCAATGCAGTTAATACAACCGTGGAGGAAAAAAAGGAGAGCACAGAAGTTGCACCTAAACCAGCTGAAACACCTCTGGACCCTGGAGTGTAAGACCACCTTAATGAATACAAAATGATTTATAGCTCACAGAAGGATGAGTTAAAATAAGATGACAACATATAGTGTTGTTTTGATTCACTTTTCCTTTTACTATCCTCCAGGAAAACCAAGCTCTGATTAAATGCTTCTAAATCAGTATCTGTACCTCTTCCAGACCGCAGCCTGCAGAGCCAGATCCCCCTGCAGCCCAGGAGGACTGTGATGTCTCCAATGACTCTTCCACGCCTTCCCCCTCATCTACCGACTCCCAGGAGGACAGACAGATTGTCACTTTTGTCGAGGAGGAGGAGGACGAGGACGAAGAGCCCAGACAGTCCACTGTCACCCTGATGGAGGATGAGGCAGACGAGGAGGAAGACAAGACAGAGGAGTCATCGAGGAAGGAGGCGGACAGGAACCAGTGGGACAACCAGACTTACTGTCCCTTCTCCTCCTTCTCCTCCCTGTCTCTGTCCTGCATGGCCACCCTGCCGGAGCTGCTCCACCGCTGGTGCTCCGCCCGGCTGGCCAAGGAGAGGCAACGCAGCGTAAAGCGAAAGCAGCTGAGCTCACAAACACAGACTGATGTAAACCCCCCTTCCCTCATTCACCCACCTCCACTTATCCCTGTCCCCACCCCCCTTAAAGAAGCTCCTCCCCTCACAGAAAAGGCCCCAGAGCCCGAGCTTCCCGTTAAGGCCCAACATGAAGGGAAAGCCTCGGGTGAGGTGCCCACCACACATCCAAACACTGACACACAAACTCCAGAGGTTACCATCCTCCTGGAGCCTAGCAGGACCGCCACTATCCCCCCACACAGTTTCTCAGACATCCACAGTTCCCTGACATCGCCCACCCCCAGCCACGAGGAGAAGCTGCCCCCTCCCATTAAAGACGCGGCTCTCGACCCCGTCCCTACTCCATCCCTCCCTGCTGTCTCCATCCCGGAGACGCAACATCCCTCCGGTGCCACCCCCACCTTAACTTTCAGCCCCCCCCCACAGCCTGGAGCCTCTGAGACGGCCTCTCCTGGTGCTGTGGTTCCCCCCGCCAAGGAGCAGCCCGTTCAGTTGCTTCCCACTGCGTCGAGGCCTGAAGACCTGATCCCCGCCCGCGCTGAACTCCCCACAGCTCTCCCATCCACAGACACAGAGACTGTAAAGCCAGGCGCAGACAGTGGGGACTCCACGAGACAAAATGTCCAGGCCTCACAGACTAACGGGGAGCAGGGGGACTCTCTCACTCACGCTGGAGATCGTGTGGAGGACTCAGTGGACGACTTCCTGTTGAGCACCAATGGGAACGGCAATGTCCATCGCACAGCTACAGACTTCTATGCAGAGCTGCAGAACGGAGGAGATTATAACGGTGGAGCAATGACCGGGAACGGCATGTTGTTGAACGGGGGAGCGGTGCACGGCTCCAGCCAGAAGGAGAGTGTTTTCATGAGGCTGAACAACAGGATCAAAGCCCTGGAGATGAACATGAGTCTGTCCAGCAGATACCTGGAGGAGCTCAGCCAGAGGTAACCCCCTGCACACAATAAGCCTTAGTATTATAAAGCTATATTAAGATGGTGCTTCCCTTAAGTCTGTTGTTTGCTTCAAAATGAATATGACAGGGCTGTATACCATGAGTTCATAATGTTTGCACTGTCGAAAGGTATCACAAAGTTTGTCATTTCTGCATCTGTGTACCTCTCAGATACCGTAAACAGATGGAAGAGATGCAGAGAGCATTCAATAAGACCATCATCAAACTACAGAACACCTCCCGCATCGCTGAGGAGCAGGTCTGTTTACAAGAAAAGCATTCACAGTTGTGTTTGTTTGATTATTGACATTGGCTGACAAATGAGTAACTTTTTAATTGGACAGGACCAGAGGCAGACAGACTCAATCCAGATCCTGCACAGCCAGCTGGAGAACGTCAGCAAACTGATGCTCAACCTCACCGACACAGTGAGCCAGCTTCAGAGAGAGGTAAATGAAACCTTTGTCTGTTCTACTGCACACTGCTTACAGGGGTCAGGAAATAGACATGCGAAGTTCAAATCTAAGCTTATTTGTTAACATGACACAGCATTAAGTTTACTATATGTGTTTTGATATTTTAAGGGTTTTATACGAGAGAATAAATCCCTGGAAATTAGGATTTCATTTGTTTATCAGAATCAGAAACCGGTTTATTACCAGGTAGGTTGACGAGGAATTTGACTTGATGTCATGGTGCATACATACGGGATCATCACCCGCACCAACTCATCCGACCACATCACCCCCATTCTCACTCAGCTACACTGGCTTCCTGTACGCTACCGTATTGACACGGTAGCGTACAGGAAGCCAGTGTAGCTGAGTGAGAATGGGGGTGATGTGGTCGGATGAGTTGGTGCGGGTGATGATCCCGTATGTATGCACCNGAGAAAGGCCGGAGGTCAGAAAAGGACGACTCGGGCGGCCGCCATTTCACCCTCAGGGCGCCCTGGCCGGTATCTCGCGGTATCTAATTTCCACAACCGGCAATCGACATTAGCGCGCAAAAGTAAAAGTGGAACCGAGTGGTATGCCGCTGCTGCGGTTTATATTCAGGTGCGCCTTATAGTCCGAAAATTACGGTAACTGAAATGTGTGAGTCTGCTGCTGAGTGTGCTGCTGAGTGTGCTGAGTGTTGCGGAGGTAGCAGAAAGCGAAATCTCACCTTGTGTTTGAAATACTGTCTGGCATAACTCTTGACCTGAAGAATGGAACGACTTCCAACCAACTTGGAAATCTTAGTCCACCTCCTACCAAACTGAGTCTGCAGAAAATCAAAATCAGAATACCTTTATTAGTCCCAGAGAGGGGAAATGTGCATCGTTACAGCAGGAAAGTGCCACAGACAGCTTAATGTTACATATTTTTTTTAAAAAGTACTAAGTTATGATATAACAAAAAATATAATAAAAAAATAAAAGTAAAAAAAAATACTTTTCAAAATACAAATCCTGTAACAGTTCTTAGGATTTAGCAGCCAGGTATATATTACACAGTTATTAATGGCATATGTATATAATAATGTATATATTGCGCATATAGCACATATTGCACATAGTTGATTGGTATTTGGTGAAAAACACACCTTAGCAACCTAGTATCTTTAAAAATACACTAAATGTAATACGTTACATGCCCATTAACCTTTACAACAATTTATTAACAGGTAAGCTTACCAGTCCTTCCTCAAACAGGTCTTTCTCCTCTTTGGACCAACGAGAAGAGGAGCCTGAGGACGATGTCTTAGCTGGAGACCTGAACATTAGACAGGAGAAAGTGTGATTTAATCCACGAGGTGTAATCTCATGTGAATGCTGGAGAAAGGGTTTACTTACTTCTTCACTTCGGCATTGTGGTTAACATCACCTTCCCAAATCTGGTTAGGAGTCCCCTCACCTGTCAGGTAGTATCTAAATGTTTGGTTCAGGACCAATATATTCAAAATGTATAATACAAATAGTACAGGTGACAACGACGGGGAACAGAAAAACACATTAATGTCACCCAATGTATCAATTAAAAAAAACTTGACTATGAAACTGTTTAATAAATGTACTTCTTTAAAACGCTCTAAAAATGATTCATCATTAATCTTTGTAATTGAAAATGTTTACATTTCGGTAGTTAGATGCATCTGTGAAGGAGTTTTATTAAATAAAAAAATATCTAAACAGAAAGGAATAAGAAACTTCATAATCTGGTCAAGACAATTATAAAGGGGGAGTCTGTGATTGTGGAAAAATATGATTGATATTTGAATTTAGTAACTCAGTAATACCCCCTCCTGCTTGTGACCACTGCCTTTCTTTTTGAAAATCCATGGCCTGTCCTTTGCACTAGCATGAACCCCTACCATTGCTGATTGGCAACTCTCATATCTGCAGTATAGCCACTTAAGACTGTTCATTATGCAGCCATTATGACAACATCCCTCCCAGTGTTATGAGATCTCCCAGTGTTATGAAATGAATTTGAGGCCAGAGAAAGGATACTGTTCCTCCAGCAGCATCCTCTCTATCACCTCCCTGTTCTCTGCGCTGATGGAGTTGTCCAGCTCCCATGGCTGCACAACACAGAGACAGAGACACACACACAGTCAACACAACAAGCATCACACAAGAGCTGAAGGACTAGCTGTTAGCTCCGCGAACTCATACCAGTATCCCTGCGCTGCTCTTCCACGCAGACTGTATGAACTTCTCCTGGACTAAACCTCCTCCACCCAGTTCACTGCAACACAAACACAAGGAGACAACAGTAACACGGACTGAAGGGACAGATATCATCCACCTGACACACAAGAGCCGCAGCTATAGCCTTCACTGAGGACTGAAAACAACCGCCGTCCCCGTAACTAGTGCGCACTAAACCACACAAGACTAACACACTGCATGAATGTTAAATAAACAGAAATAGGAAATATTTTCACCTTATACTGCTATCAAACTCGTCTCCTTCGATGTCAACATCCACCTCGTCCTCCATCTTGGTGGATAAACGTAAACATGAGAGGAGAGAGCGGAAATAAGACAGCGCTAAGCTCCGCTCACAGTGACCCCTGGTGGTGGGAGGTATCGTATCCACTGTTTAATCCTATTGTCAGGACTGCGTCTGATTACTTTGAAATAAAGTCAATTACTGAATAAAGATTATATGACCATTTTAAGCAAGGTAGGCTACTGCTTTTCGTGACAAAAATGTAATCTAATTTGAATTCTCTTTTATTAACATGACACATTGTACTTCTTAAACTGAACAAATTGACACTGCCACAATCATTTGGGCTCCACAAATATTATTTCTTCTCTTTTCTCAAAACATATTCAATGAAAATAAAATGCTCTTATTTTCAGAATTTGACAGTTGGTCAAATGTAATAGCCTTACCAAAACAGAACTGACATGTGGAATGCTGTTGTATTTGTGTATACAACAGCCATCAGGAAAAAGTTTAATACATTTAAAAATTGCCATATGTTATAAACATATACATGTTATTGAAAGTAATCACGTAATGATTAACAATGACTAGTATCTAATTGCACAATGTGCTCCTGTTCTTCTTTATCTCTTGTCAATAGATCAACCCTTTTGAAAAACAAGTCACCAAAAAAGTTACTTTTGTCTAATGTTACATTAACTTTTTGAAAGTCATCAAGAATCTCGGTCAAAAATAGAAATGTCCTCATCACAGTGTTTATGTACAATTATGTATCTTTGCCATCAAGTAATATAGCTGCACAGTGCATGATGATGGCTTAAAGACAGACCCAAACTGCCCTGCTGGATTTTAATTCATAGCAAGAGCTTTTTAAAGCTTGTTTATCATTCCCGAACATATATGCTGTTTAACACTTAACAAAAAAAAAAGCCCAAGTGTTGTTTTTATAAGCCAAGCAGGTGAAGTTTTGCCGGATATATCACATGCACATTCATGTGAATTATTCTCCAACTGTCAGTTTCAAAGCATCCACATTACTTGGTAGTGAGCGTCTCTCTTCATCCATAATAAAAACCAACAACAAAGTGAAAGACAACAAAAAAGGTTTTATTTAGAAATTCACAGTTTCTAATGGCACTACAGTTTTGTAGTAACTCACTGTTGCTCCAAAATACTCTGCAGCTCTTCAGAGTAATCAGAGAGAGAAAAAAGATAGCACTTGACGCTTAAGGTAGAAAAACAAAAAGGCATGAGGAGTTATACAAAGTGCACACTGAGCTCCTAGAACTTCTTTCCGAGGACATTCTCCCTACTCGCTGCGTTTCGGGGTAAGTCAATTCAAAGTAGTCTCACAGCACAGACACACATACATGAGATCAACAAATAATTCTCACATGCATACGGGTTTACACACACAAACGTAAGATCATACAGATTCAAAAAGGGTAAAAAAAACCTCATGATTTGCTTGGTTTGTGGAACAGAATCACAATTATAGTGTTCCTAATTTAACCATCTTTGCTGCGTTCCCTTTATTCATAGATTCATAATCTTCTCCTCACAAACCACAAGTATCATTCAAGGTGGGGCAAAACCGAAGTCAAAGAGCAATGACAAGTGATTAAAAGACTAGAGCGTACAATGAGAGTGAAGATGCACAATAAAAATAATTAGCTAGTCGGGAAAGCAGGCGTGGAGAGTGATAAGCACTTTTAGCTTCTAATGAGAACATGTTAGAGTGGTTAATAAACGCAGGCATATTCAACTTTTGTTCACAGTTACGGAAAGTCGTGCAATGGAGGTCAGAGGTGACGTTGGTGGGTAAAGATATGTAAAGACAAAAGGAGCTGTAGAAGCAGAGGTAATGGTGTCTTTTGATGGAGTAAGATGAAAAATCTCTGTCTCGGTCATAATGTTCACAAGACCAACCACACAGTGCCAGTCAGAGACATACTGCATACATACAATACAAAATATATTTTATTATTAAAAAAAAAAAGAATACCCCTTCTCACATTATTCAAATCTGAGTCTTAGCGCAGGTCAGTCATGAAATCATAAACGGGGCGAGTTAAAATCGTTTGGAAAGCGATCCAACAAAGGTGCTAAAAAAAAGCACACGGAAGAAAGAAGAATAATTTACACTCACTTCCTCTACTTCCATCTACCCAGCAGCTCTTAGCAAATACAAAACCAGCAGTGTGACGATCCTAAAAAGCCTGCAGTTGTGTAAATCAATACTAAAAGGATCCTGTTATCTGCTGCAGGACATGTAACTGCTATCCCATCTGATAATTCAGGCCGAGGTAAACAGAATAAGTGGCGGCCATAATGTCAGAGCCGAAGATAAAATGTAAAAAAAAAGAAAAAGAAAACTGTCCGTGGTTTAGCCATCTACCATGGCCATGTGTCAGTGCGGTTGTTGAGGGCATTTCACCGTCATATTTCTGTAACATACTCACGAGGATCAACTTACTTGACACTGCAGGATCGGGAGACATGCAAGTTAGGTTAAAAACATCTGTAGTCATTTAAATAAATAAATACATAAATAAAACTGAACTCCCAGTAGTGTGTGTGTGTGTGTGTGTGTGTGTGTGTGTGTGTGTGTGTGTGTGTGTGTGTGTGTGTGTGTGTGTAAACATTCAGCTCTGCAGCCCAATGTGCTCCTAAAGTACATTGTATTCGAAAACAGTTAATTCATGTCTACATACTGGTAATGTGAATAATTCAAACCAACCACACCAGCAACGATAAAAGAGGAGCATGGCTCAGTTATATACGAAGAAAAAGAAAATCGAACACCATGGCTACCTCTAGCCTGTTCTTCACTTTACATTCCTCACAGTCACAACATGTTTCTGTATTATTGCAATTTCTCTGTAATGGGTGTACAGTATGTGCAAGCTTTTCGGGCCCAGCCCAAACTGACTGAGTAGGAAACATCTCTTTGTGGCCTAGTAGGACCTACAGACTGCTGGGATTGTATTTGTAATTTGAGGTTAAACAGGACACTAAACTGAGAGGACTAACACATTCAGACAGGTAACGTGATGTTCTTCATTCAGCTCTGATGGTTGGTTTGGAACAGACTGACGGAGACAGAGGAAGAGGAGCAGAGCTGAAACACTCTGGTCCCAGAACACACACCTGCAGTCATGTGAGGATGCAATACAGAGACAGAATGGATTAAATGATGGCAATGAAAGAAGAGAAGTAGTTTGTTATGCTCCCCACGTCTGTCACGACAACACAATTCATCCAAAAGAGAAGCCTAATACTTCCTGATGCCCCCGGGGGTGAAGGAACGTAGAGCTGAGGCCTCCTCACTTTGTGGGGATAAAAGCTTACTGGTGCTCAACTGTCATGGGACAATGTGCTTATCAAGAAGAGAAAACACCTTGAACACACTTCAATGGATTTGACTGGATTAAATGTTTCCCTCCCCACTGCAGTTTCTCTCTCGTCCGCTTTCACAATTCTTTACATTTAATATTTTTAGCTTTAAAATGTCTAGAACAGATATAAAGGCACATAACCGTAAACAGCTCTTTGACAGGAGTGGTTAAGGACTGGTTGTTGTGGAGCTTCTGCTGCCACAGCCATTTCAGTTCCACGGTGCGCCTGGGTGCTCATGGGAAATGTGGTTCTTTGGGATGCAGTAAGTACCTCATCTCCTCATAGATCTGCCACCACATAGTGTGTGTGTGTTGTGAGTAGAAAGTTGTGTTAAAGTGTGGGCTTTCAGACATGTCCGGTGATTGCTGTCAACCCGATGGTCCAACACTGATCTCCTTGTTTCCCTTCATGAGCTGCTGCAGGCTGGGCAGAGAACCCACGCCCCCCCCACGCAGGGCAGGGAACTGCAGCTCCGTCTGCCGGGACTTCCTCCTCTTCATCGAGCGCTTGTCCTGCCGGGACTTGGTGGGAGACGGCTGGAGGGAGAAAGGCAGGCTGTGTCCATTGCACAGGTCTGTGGAGGAGCGGATGGGGGAGGGGGGGGGGAGGCGGCTCGTGTAGGACTCCTCAGAGTGGGTGGACGAGCTGCAGCTGCTGGTCTCTGAGGAGGTGCAGGTGGGCAGTGACGACGCCTCCTCCGCAGAGGAAGAAGGAGGTGGTGGAAGGGAAGGAGGGGAAGGAGGAGGAGGAGGAGGAGGGAGGGGGGGGTGGTGGTGGTGGTGGAGGAGGGGGGGAAGGGGGGCAAGGTTGGAAGCCGTTGCAGTTCAGAGTCCCGTTTGTGAGAGGAGCACAGGGGTCGGCCAGCTTCAGAATGTCAACCTTGTCCAAAGACTTTGACTTGCAACGCTTTTTCTGCAAGGGAAAACATGAAACAGGAGGAAGACATTATGAAAAAACATTTAAATAAAGCAGATACATCAAATATTGACACGCCATATTAACCACTACTGTGCTGAACACTACGGTCACACAAAGATGGGGGGGAAGTTCCATAGGGAAAGATTGAATCTAGGGTTTGGAGGGACCAAGTATCAAAGCTTCTTATCTAAACAATGTATTTATAAATGATCCCAAAGCTGTACTGTTCTCTTGCACCATTTGATCCGTTTGATTTGTTCTATATATTTATGTTGCACTGCTGGAGGAGCCTGCGACTGAAGTTTGTCATTGCCATATCTACACTGTAGCCAATGTGCACATGACAATAAAGCCTTGAATCTTGTAATATAAGTACACAGCAAATTATTCACATTGAAATGTTTTGAGTGGGAAGTGTTTTTTTACATTGCATAAAGCAGAGAAAAGGCCCACGGTGTTCGCAAAGAAGTGGTTAACAGGTATTTGGTCTCAATAATAACACTGTTCAGGTGCCCCCTTATCCGAGCTCTTCCACTGAGATCAGAAAGCAGTGACTGGCGAAGAAGCCACTCACTGCTTCAGCAAACTTATAGTACAGACTGACTGACACCAGAAAACACACAGCACTCAAGTTATTAAAACGACGGGCGTCACAGCCAACAGCAGGTGGAACATACACTGTACCTTTTTCTCTGGAGAAAACCTTAGAGGTTCTACAATGTACAAGTCATCGGGACCTACTGGGGAGGGGAGAGAGGGGCTAGGTTAATGATGGAATGGCAAACAGGAATACATACATGTAATAAGCATGAAGTGACCTTGCAAGTAGTTTGAATTAAAGATGCAAACATCAATTTTAATCATCGCTAATTGTATTTTCTTAAACTAAAAACAAGGGTAAAGCTAAAATCACAGTGAGAGTCTGTTATGTCATTATCTGTTACTACTTGCAAATGTCTACCATGAGCCAGCAAAGCACCATGCTCTATTATTATACATTTCTTAAGCCTGCATGTGGGCACAAGCTGGCAATGACAGCCTCTCAGACACACACACACACACACACACACACACACACACACACACACACACACACACACACACACACACACACACACACACACACACACACACACACACACACACACACACACACGAGGGATAATGAACAGCAGGGGGAGTTTGAGGTTTCATGAGTCAAAGAATGTATTCTTTTTATTGCCGGCACCAGCCTCTCCCGTTGGGCTTGTGTCGCTCGAGGCACTGGCAACAGAGATATCGGCCACTAAGCATGGCAACATGTGAGAGAGGAAACCAGATGAGTTTGAAAGAGAAAAGGAGTAGAAAGGAAAGGATACTATTTAAATGGGGACAGTTATGCGGAAAGAGCTGCAGCAGTCTGATGCAACATCTTAAAAAGGTCTATAGCCGCGATAATGTGATCTTTGCAATGAGCTATGACTGTAGTGTCAAACCTGAATGTAGCTCTAGATAGGAGAACTGAGGAAAGGTTTGAGGGAAGACTTCAGTAGTGTGTGTGTGTGTGTGTGTGTGTGTGTGTGTGTGTGTGTGTGTGTGTGTGTGTGTGTGTGTGTGTGTGTGTGTGTGTGGAATCTTACCTTCTGTAGAGGACAAGTGAAAGGACTTGGAGCGAACGAGCGGACAGGTCACCCTGCGCTTTAGGCTCATATCGTCATAGGAGGAGAAACACCTGACAAGAAGAATTACATTGACATTTGTGTCGTTGACATTGTCACTGTTCCAGAGTCATCCAATTAGTGGCAAGACAGGAGTGACAGCCTCTGGCAATGAAGTCTCAAGTGATGTAAGTAATACGTTTTATTCGAAAGCAGCATCATAAAACTGGGTGTAGGTCGGAGATCATGATGACAGATCTAAAACTGGAGGAACACATAATACTCAAGCTTACGGGGTAGCAACATGCCATAGTGGTGTGTGTGTGTGTGTGTGTGTGTGTGTGTGTGTGTGTGTTTG